TCTATGCCCAAGGCTGCTCTCAGATGATTACACTCCACTAGAAGTCTCTACGGTCTCCTCTAGCTCTGATAGCTTCGGTTCCAATTTGGCAATTGTGTTAAGGAGACTAAATTGTGGCCGTTGATAATTAGCACAGAGACCTCTCGCTGTCAGTGGAGAAAGTTTGTGGGGGTGGGAATGGGTCCGGGGCAGCCTGACCTGTGTCTTGAAGGGTGGGACTCATTTGGGCAGAAAGAAGAGCACACACCAGAAGGAAGGAATGAAATGGATCAGGAGGTCGTGGGGGCAGGGTGGGAGAGGAGGAGGAAGCAAAGGGAGCTAGGGAGCTAACAGAGGAAAGAGATCAGTCGGCTACCGGCTACCGCGAGTCTTAGGAGTGGGGGGCCAAATAGAGGAAGGCCTTAGACACTGACAGAAAGGTTTGGGAATGACCAGTAGCTTCTGGGAGGCTTTTTAAGCCCTAATTGAGGAAGCAATTTGATGAAAATGACAATCTATGAATAATATTATACCATGCTACAGACTTCGACCAGAGGGGGTAATTAAGAGTCAAGTTTGTTGTTGTTATTCTATGTCATGTTTTAAAATTTTTTAATGGGGATATTATCTCTTATCTCCTAGGCTGCTATGAGAAAATGTGATGTGGGGGCGCCTGGGTGGCTCCATGGGTTAAGCCTCTGCCTTCGGCTCAGGTCATGATATCAGGGTCCTGGGATAGAGCCCGGAGTGGGGGGGGGGGGTGTCCCTGCTCAGCGGGGAGCCTGCTTCCCCTTCTCTCTCTGCCTACTGCTCTGCCTACTTGTGACTTCTCTCTCTGTCAAATAAATAATTTTTTTTTAAATGTGATGTGAAGTGCTTAGCACAATGCCCAGCACATAGCGGGTGTTCGTTAAGTTGATAAAGCTCGTTATTATCATCTCTCTAAAGTTTGCCTTTGACAACAACAGATCCCATTTCATAATCACCTTAGATCTAGTGCCTAGCTGCCTTACCCATTTTCCCTCCAGGGAGGTAGCACAGGCTCCCTGTACCTTTAGATGAGAAGTAGGAAAGGGGCCGAGCAGGGAGGGTGTAAGTAAGAGCTTTCCCTACATCTCCTCCCTGTTCCCTGCCTTGGTTCACCCCCTTTCAGTGAGGCCACTCATCCTCTCTGGTGTCCTCTGCAGCACTGTCCACAGGCCTTGGGGTGGTGAGGACCCTGCACCGGGATCTGTGTTTACCCTTCCGGTCTCCAGGACACAGGAAGCCTGGCCTGTGGGCACATACAGTCATCTTCTTCCTTCCACAAAAGCAGCTGTCCCGTGTCCCAGCACTGGCCATCACCCCATCGGGATGGAACCATTGCTGACTCCAAGTGGCACCGCTCTTACCATGTGCTCAGGATCTGGGACACCCCTTCCTCTCTTCCCGCCAACCCTCATTTGACCTCCTGAGGGGCCACCCTCCTAGATCCATAGCTGGCCACCCCTCAGGGTGGTGGAAGCAACCTCAGTGGGCTCAGTTCTATTCCCATTGAGTCTGCTAAGGGGCAGAATTGTGTCCCCCCACCCCCAGATTCATATGTTGAAGTCCCAGCCTCCCACCCTCAATGTGAAGGCACTTGGAGGTGGGGCCTTTGATAATTATGTTTTGGTAAAGTCGTGACTGTGGAGCACTCGTGATGGGATTAGCCTCTCTCTGTGTCTCTTTCTCGCCCTGCTTTTTCTCCTCTGTGAGGGTACAGCAGGAAGACAGGAAGAGAGTTCTCACCAGAACCCAGTCATGCTGGCACCCTGATCTCAGACTTCCATCCTATGGGACGTTGGGAAATAAATGTCTATCATTGAAGTCACCGGTCTATGGTATTTTGTCATAGCAACCCAAACAGACAAATACATGGGCCGAGTCCTGGTTTGAAATACTGGAAGTCAGTCCAGTCAAAGAAAAATGTGGAAATATGTCACCTTTTGCCCATACTTCTACCCAGGAGGGGCAAAGACTGAGCCTGACTGAAGGCCCCCTCAGGCATGAGGCAGAGTAGGGAAAGAGTCACTGAGAGGATAGGCATTCCTTGTCTCTTCAGATAGACAAGCCCAACACCACAGAGGCCGTGCAGGCTCCTGAGAATGCTCACCAAGTCAGAAGTGCTTCCAAAACTATTTCTTCAGAAGTGGTGGCCGAGACAGAGCAGCCCTCTTAGACCATGAGCAGAGGTCATGTGCTGCAATCTCACAAGATAAGAGGAGGCTGGGGTCCTGGGCACTTGGTGCAGAATGGCTGTCACACAAGCCTGGGACTGTGGCCTCCGAAGCTCAGTGGGAGGGAAAATGTACTTCTGTTTCCTTTAAGCCACTGTCTTTTAGCCTTTGTAACTCACAGCCCAATAGAACCATAACTGATACTGGTTTCAGAAAAAGTTGGCTGTTATCTGTCACACAATTACAACAATTTAATGTCTATCTTCCCACTAGATTGTAAACTCCATGAGGACAGGGGCCATGGCATTCTGGTCAAGGCCCGAGCCAGGCCATACATACAGCAGGCACACAGTCAGTGTCTGTTGAATGAGTTGGTGATCCCGGTTCACGACCTTCCTCTCCCCGGGCCTGAGCATCAGCCCTGGGTCTCACTTAAAGCCCATCTCCCGAGGAAAATCTTCCCTGTCACACCTCATTTCCTTCTAGTTCCTCTTCCTGCAGGTCCCTGGGAACTCAATACTTTGTGAGTCACAAACTTTGGCTCTTTGACAGTCGTTCTCTGCTTAGTCCTTGGATGCCTGTTTTGTTGTTTAACTGGACCATGGGCAAGCAAAACACTTTTTCAGTTTTTTAATCATTGGGAGCCTTAATCCCAAATCCTCATAAATGCATATAGTAGACAATAAACATTTCGTGAAGAAAGGAAGAGAGGGAGGAAAACTTGACAAAGGCTCTGACACTGAAGAAGAACACTAGATTTCAAGTTGGGAAGGTTGATTTTCAAAAAGGAGAAAAAAGTAAGGTCAAAAAAGAGCAGTCAGACTCCAAGAGCCTAACTTGGAAAAAATTTCAAAGGCAGGTTATTGTGTTAAAAATGGGAAAAATATGGGATGCTGGGGTTCCTTTAGCTGTGACCTTGGATAAGTCATTTCACTGCTAACAATCCATTTCTTCATTTTGACAGTTAGGTCTGGCTCCATCATGGGTCCTCTGGTTGTGCTCCAAGCAACACAAGTTAGAGACGCCGAGAAGCTGGAATCCAGCCCACAGCCCCCGCCAGAGCTCTGCTCCCTTCAGCTCCGTGCATTGGCTCCCCCATAGGAGCCAAAGACTTTGGAGCTAAAACAGTTTCAAAACCACTAGAGTCAATGACCCCTGTCCACAACTACATAAAGATCTCTGGTTTTATGATTCAACCAGTTGATTCCCAAAGCTGGAACCCTCTTCAAAGAAGAAAGCCTACACAAGGGCCTTGGTCTCTTCTTCCCAGCCAGATTGTAAATTTCTGAGAAGGGTGAATTTGGGTTCATGGGTTCTCAGCCTCCCACGATAAGCTTCCCTTCTGGGTTCATGGAATCTCAACGATGGCTGGATTTATAGATGTTCCACAGAGTTCTGTGGCTGGATACCCCAGCAGGGCAAGAGAACAGTGATGAGAAGGAGAATTTGCTCCACCCTGCTGAGTTCCCAGGGATATAGGGAACCCCATACAGGGGTAACCGGGCCCCTGAACTCCAATATAAATGTTTCTGCTCAAGGGAGTGAGTCTTGAACTTCACCACATTTCTGGACCACCTGGGTGCCTCAAGTCCATAAACGTCTGCCTTCAGTTCAGGTCATGATCCCAGAGTCCTGGGATGGAGACTGCTTTTCCCTCTGCCCCGCCCCCCCATTCATGCTCACTTTCTCTCAAATAAATAAAATCTTAAAATAAAAAACCTGCATCACATTTCTATTTTCTTCTTCCCAATCCTGGTCTTCTTATCCTTCCCATTTTCCCACTTGCCTTTCCTGGCTCCCCTGCCCTCCCAGTCTGAGGTCTGTGCTCCCTCTGACCCTGACACTTTCTAGAGCCCTGAGTTGGAGTCCTGGGTATGGACCTGGGGTTTGAGCAGTGAGTCAGTGAGATGTCCAGGACAAGCAGGGCTGAATCAGGCACCAGGGAATCTGTCCTCAGGGAAAGAGGTGCCTAAATGGACCCACATCAAGAAACAAGGATCAAAACCAAAATGTGATACCTACATACAGTGGAATACTATTCATCGTTAAAAAATGAGGAGATCTTGATCCAGGCTACAACGTGGATGAAACATGAGGACATTATATTAAGTGAAAAAAGCCAGACCCAAAAAAACAAATACTGTATGATTCCACTTATATGAGATATCTATAGGAGTCAAATTCACAAAGACAGAAAGTAGAACGGTGGTTGCTGGGGGCTGGCGAGTTAGTATGTAATGGATATAGGGTTTCAGTTTTGTAAGACGAAAAGGTTCTGGAGATGGGTTGCCCAACAATGTGAATATACCTAACACTATAGTCCTGTACCCTAAAAATGGTTAAGGTGGAAATTTTAAATTATATGTATTTTGCCACAATTTCTTTAAAAAAAGAAGAAAAACCATTTGAGGGGACCCTGGCAGTCCCAGTGCCCCTTTGCCCGCTTCCTGTTCACTACCTGGAGGTGAGACAAGGTAGGGAGTGAGCCTTGGAAGGAAACAAAACTCCAGATTACAGCTCCACGAACTGCAGCCCCCCACCCCGTGGAGCTCCCCACTCATGGGTCTAACCTTAATATTTCCAGATCCCTGGGCTTCAGCCCTTGTCTCCCAGCTCCCAGATACCACTCATTTCCCTGAGGAATATGCGTGGACCCTCACATCACACACACAAACACACACACACACAATCTCAATTAATTCATTTTTAAAAATAATTCAAAGACTGGCTGGAATCAGAGAATCTGGCCCAGGCTTGCCAAAACCGTTTATTTACAGGGAGGGTTCGAGGCCCGGGGAGTCCTGTTGTGCCGTGGTAAGTCCAGGACCCCAACTCCAGCTCAGTCTCTCTGGGCCTCTGGTTTAACTCACTCCAGAAAGGCTAAGGCCCAGGACAGGCACCTGAAAGAAAGTGCTAGATGGACCCCAGCCCCTTATTACAAACCCCATACCCCAGTTCAATGGCCCTCAGCCCAAAGGAAGTCCAGGGGAGGGAGTGAATAGGAACAGAGTCAAGGGCATAGGCCAGGGCGCTCTTCCCCCCAGGACCTAGCTTTTGCACATGCAGGAGCCAGTACAGGAGGCTCCAGGCCAGAGGGAATGGTCTCACCTTGAGAGACCCTAATAGAAAGGCTGTCAGGTGCCACTGATGAGGGTCAAGACAGGGAGCAGGGAGAGAGCAAGGCCAGGCTGGAAGGGACCGAGGGCAGGAGGCAGGAGTGCAGAGAGAGCAGAGAATGGTGGGCAGGCCAGGATGCTCGCCCATGATGCCCCTTCTGGTTTCCCCCTACGGGGTCAGAATAGGATGGAAAAGCTCTAGGGCATGTGGTGGTATTTGGGAGCTCCTGGCAGGCCCCAGAAGGGACTAGGGGTGGGGGAGGCTGCACTCACCCGTGAGGGGTCTGCTTTATCCAGACATGATGTGTTTGACAAAGGCTGGGAAGGGAGACAGAGATCAGTTACCACACGTGGCCCCTCTCAGCCCCTGACTTCCAAACTTCCCACCACCCTTTCTACTGACTGTGATTCTTTCTCTCCTTTGGGGTTGATGCAGGAGAAGCAGGAAGAAGAGACCGAACCTCTGCTCTGTGTCTTCTCAGCTGACACCGGACGGAGATGAAAGGAGCTACGTTTTCTCTGCTACCCCCCAACCTTGAGAAAGGAGCCAGCATCATCCCACTGCTCAGATGAGAAAACTGAGGCTCAGAGAAGATAAGTGACTTGATCCAGGTCACAGAGCTGGTCTATCACAGAGCTATCTCCAGAAGCCATGCTCCTTCCATCACACTATGCTGTTCCGTCCAAGGATGGAAAAGAACATCCATCGGGAGCTCGCCAACACCCATCTAGCCTCTAATCCCTGGATCTGTCCTGTTCTGCGGACCCGTCCAGCCCAAACTGTGCCCGCCCTCTCCAGAGGTCCATGGAAGTGAGGCATGATGGGATACCTTCGTAATTGATACAGCCATTGGCATCCTCTTGCCCTGCCAACAGCTGCTCCACCTCAGCCTCAGTCATCTTCTCTCCTGGGGTGCGGGCAGGAGGCTCTGAATTACACATGGCAAAGGAGGGACAGGCCAAACCCAAGCAGCCCCTCAAGTCTCAAGTCCCAAGTCTCCCCGGATCTGGGAACTGGACATCCAAGCTTTGCAGGGAGAGCCAAGTGTCTTAGATCTTTCCTACTCCCCAAGGCCTCTTCCTCTGCCCTACAGCCAGCACTGAGGGGGGTGGGGGACCAGGGACCCCATGATTGAGGCAATGATAAGGATGGGAGCCCTGGGTCCCACATCTCAGGCCTCAGCCCTGCCCTGCCAACTGGGTCTCCTTTCCTCCCGCCCAGCTGAGCAGACCCAGTTGGGGGAAGGTAGTTCCTGAAGAGCCTGGGGAGACAAGGCCTGAATCAGGACGTGATCCTCAGGAAGCAGGGACCCCCACCTACCCCCTACCTATGCCACCTGGGCACTTCCCACCCCTCCCTTCCACCCCCTCGGGCACCACGAGCCTGCATACCCAGGGTGGCGAGGACATGGCGGAGCTCAGCACCCATGACCGTGCCGTTGCTCTCCTTGTCGAAAACACGCAGCCCCTCCACAAAGTCCTCATAGGTACCCTGCTCCTTGTTGCGGGAGATGTGCTGCAGAATGGGCAGGAACGTCTCGAAGTCCAGCATCTTGGCATTCATCTCTTCAGGCGGGAAGGAGAGAGGATGTGATGTGACTAGGGGCTCAAGGGGAGCAGCAGGTCCTCAGGGGTCCTTGCCCCAGCTCTGCCAGGCCAGGACCAGGGTGGAAGGGGAAAACCACGGCGACTCCACCCAGACCTCTAAGCCCCAGGTGGCCAGCCAGGTGCGGGGGGCCGGGGCGGCCGCAGCAGGATTTGAGGGGCCCGAAGGCTCACAGAACCAGGCCTCACATTCACAGTTTAGCCTTTTGACATGGGATGGACACATCCCAGAGGTAAACTGATAGGATTGTAAAGAGGGAATTTTGCATCATTTCTCCTTTGGGTCTCATCCCTAGACCACATTAAATGGAGCAAGGCTGAATCAATCATTTTTACAAATTTGCAATTCTTTCGTGATAAGCCAGCCCACCTTTCCCACACGATAGCGTGTTAAAAGCTTCATTTTTAAATACCACAGATGTTGGCAATTCTGTCTTCTATAATAGCACAGGGACCTTCAAATATGGAAGCGCCCAGACACCTTTGACCTCTGACAAGCCCTGCTGGTCCTCTGGCCCTTTCCTCCCCACATCCTTCCCCCACACTGGGGTTTTCACCAGCAAGAGGAGGAGGGGAGGGGCCAGAACCAAGGAAAGGGGAAGGGAGCTATATGGGGCCCAGGAAGCCTGTAGAGAAGCCTGGGGGGCTCCCGCCCAAGTCTGCCTGTCCCCACCGGGTGTGACACCTCTCGGAAGGACATGTGTGTCAGAGCAGCTGTTAACTCTACTACTATGCATAACAGATGACATTCACAAATGGGACACATTCCCCTGCACTCCTTTTGAAACTCATTCACCAAAACCTAATGAAGGCAAATGAGCAAAAGAGGCATCGTTACGGAGCTCATGTGTAGTCTGCTTTGACTTAAACGAATCATTTGCGATCTTCAGTGTTCTCCCCATCATAGGAAACAAAGTCTTCGTGATACAATTCATAGTGGCCACAGGACATTTCAGTGCATTAACACTGCAACTAGCATACTGGGCATGGGGGTGCGGGCAGGTGGTGAGTGGTGAGACCCCCCCAGCTCACCTCCCTGTACCCTGGGGTGTCAGAGGAACACCCTGAAGCAGGTTCTTCCTGCTCTCCAGGAGCTCCAACCTCACAGGGAAAACAAGAGCAAGCCCTGGCCACATTCTTCAAGAATCCACTGTGGGAGACTTCCACAACTCTAGCAAGGGGAGAAGGGTCACCTGGGGAGGAAGTCTGGTCTTGAAGGGCTAACATGGGAGAAGAGAAGGAGCCCCAGGGGCCTCGGGGCAGACACCAGGAGGTGGAGGCCCAGGCCCACGCTGACCTTCAGGCTTGGGTTTGCCCAGGACCCGCAGCACCTCGGCGTTGGTGGGGTTCTGGCCCAGGGCCCGCAGCACGTCCCCGCACTGCCCGTAGGTGATCTTCATCTCTCCAGTTGGTGTCCGGTCAAACAACGAGAAAGCCTCTTTGAACTCTGCAGAGAGAAGACCCGACTGCAGCCTCCCCGGGGCCGAGAGAGGACGGTGGCCAAGGGCCATCAGCCTCCACCCAGGCTGAGAGCCGGTCAGTGCGGCTGATAAAACATTTCAGAGTTTGCCCTTGGCCGTCATTCCAGCCCCTCCCTGGAAGCCACCCCACACCATCTTCTGACCACCAAAGGGGCATCCACGATCTGTTCCAGTACTGGGCCTGGGATCCCTTCTGTCAGTTCTGTCACGTCACCTGACTATCCCCCCCCCCCCGCCCCGCCCCGCGGGGCTCCTCCCGCCCTCCTTCCCGGCCCTGCTGCAGGGGAGGTGTCCGACTGTCAAAATGGCAGGGAAGTGAAAACAGCACCAGCTCAGAAGTCCGGATTCCCAGCTTCTCAGCAAAGTGCAAACATAGAGTAAAGCTTCACCCTCCCCTCCCTTCCCCCTTAACCGGGTCAAAGGAGGTGGTTGTGCACAGAGGCCCTTTCCAAAATGTTAAGACCTGTTCAAGAGTCAGCTAACAGTGCTGCCTGTTCCAGGCCAGTCGGACCACCCCAGCTCTGCCACTGACCTGGATGCGGCCTTGAGCACACTGCTCACCTCGGCAGGCCCTCCTTTGTTTTAGCTCTAAGTGCGGATATCATGTCCACCAGAGGGGGTTGTGGGGGGGATTATGAAATGTGCAAGAGGCTGTCTAGCACATGGTAAGGGAATCAACAAAGGGTGGTTATTACTGTTTCCCTAGTTCTGGAGCCGGCTCGGAGCTCTAGGGGCTAGACGCCCCGAAGTTACCAGGGCAGGTCTCCAAGGAGCAAGGTCAAATTAAGGCACTTCTGGGCCCTTTGGAAAGAACCTTAATTCCTCATGAATGTGGATTCAACCAGTCCATTACTGGGGATAATTTGGACTGGAACTGGCAGAGAAATGGTTTGACTAAACGGATTAACAATATAAACCGAAGACTGTATGAACCACTTAAGAAAAAAGCTGCTTTTAATCCTCACCAAGTACTCTAGAAACACTTAGCCCTTAGAGGCTGCCTACGGATTATTTACAAATCACTCCACATACCAAAGCCATTCCCCAAGATGTTTATTTGCAAGCCTTTATTAGCCTTTGTAAGAATTTAAAAGATACAAAACCACATGTCTTTCAATTACTGAATAATTAAGTTCAAATTCCATTTCCATTGCTTACTAGCTGTGAGACGTTTGGGCAAGTAAATATTTAACCTCCATAAACCTCTTCTCCTCTATAAATGGCACCTACCTCATAGGATTTTTGTATTACATACAAATTAGATACAATAATGTATATTTAAAAATCTTAACAAAATGTCCTGTGTATAGTAAATGTTCAAACAATGCTGCTAGTCTTATCTTATTGCATTTCATCTCAATTTTACCACTGAACTATGTGATTCTCGCCAGGTTACTTAAACCTCACTGACATTCCTTTCCTCCTTTGTCAAAAGGAAATAATCCCTTCCTCACAGTTTTGTTAGAAGAATATAATTTTTTTCTTAACTTTTAAAGAAATTAGCATGGCTTCTGGCACAAATTCATTGCTCAATAAATATGTTAGTTGAAACTGAACTCAGAACTTTTCTTAAAAAAAGATTCTACTTATTAAACAGAGAGCATGAGTGGCAGGGAGGGGCAGAGGGAGAGGGAAAAGCAGGTTCCCACTGAGCAGGGAGCCCATTACGGGGCTCAATCCCAGGACCCTAGGATCATGACGAGCCAAAGGCAGACGCTTAACCAACTGAGCCACCCCGGTACCTCTGAACTCAGACTTTTTGATCTCCTAGTTCATGCGGAAGAGTGAGGTCAGATTTGATAGGAGAAGGAGCCTCCTCATAGAAGGCACATGAGATCTTAACAGAAAGGTGGAACATGAGAAGGAAAGCAAAAGAACTGTGACCTATGATTTGATCACTTACAACAGACCAAGCTCTGAGCTGATAACATCTAAATCTTTTTTCTTTTTATTTTATTTTGTGTTTTTTAATTAACATATAATGTATTATCTGTTTCAGGGGTTCAGGTCTGTGATTCATCAGTCTTACACAATTCACAGCACTCACCATAGTACATACCCTATCCAATGTCCACCACCCAGTCACCGCATCCCTCCCACCCCCGAAACATTGTCTAATCTTTCAAAAACCTTATGCTATAGGTATAATTATCATCATTTATAGACCAATGCACACGTGACTTCTGGTCAACTATTCAGAACACCAAGAAAATAGTGAGGAGGAAGAAGGAGGAGGGAAGGACCTGCTGTACCCGCTAATGCTCCAGCCCTCTGCCAAACCTGGTATACACATAAACCCCAAACACTCAAGCTTAGGGCTGCTACTAGATTGAAGACAAAGCCAGTGTGATCTTGGGGTATATGAGAGGTGATATTCATGGGCTCAGAAGAAACCTCTTCTCAACAGCCTGTAGTAGTCTGGTCCTTGCTAGAGCAATGACCAAAGGTGATAATCCCTGCCTATAAGAATATGGAAATCTGGACACCTGGGTGGCTCAGCTGTTTGAGCATCCAGCTCCTGATTTCCATGCAGGTCATGATCTCACTGTCATGAGATCAAGCCCTGCCTCCTAGCTCCGTGCTCAGCGGGGAGTCTGCTTCTCTCCTTCTCCCTTTCCCTCTCTCCCCCTCCTCCCCTCGGATGTTCCCTCTTTCTCAAATGAATAAATAAATCTTTAAAAGAGAGAGAGAGAATATGGAAATCTGGAGAGGAACCAGTAAGTCAGTCAAGAGTTAAAAACTAGTTTCTATAAGGAAAAAAAAAAAAGCATTGAAATAAAATGGGGCCATAAAGCTAAGACTGGATTTGATAACTACAAATAAACAGAGGATATCTAAAGGATGCTGAACAGAGTCACAGAATTTCTGAATTGAAACAAACCAAATATTCTTACTTTGCAGATAAGAAAATTAAGGTTCAAAAAAGTGACTTGCCGAAGTCTCATAGCCAATAGTGGCAGAATTAGGGCCAATAATAAAATCTCCTGATTCCAAATAACATTCTTTATAGCACAGAATGAGAAAAACATCTTTAGCTTCATCAAAGAGCAAATGAAGAGACAGCAGGAGTAAAATACAAATAGAAACTATTCCGATCCAAAAAAAGGGACATCTTCAAGATCAGAGGAATGACAGACTGAAATGAGTTAGAACAGAGCCCTGAAAAGCTTCATGGAGAAAGGAAGCAACCAGCTGCCCCAGTTGGCTTTGACCATGATTCCCATTTGGGAAATGAAAAATTTTTTATCATTAGTTGACTCTCTAGTCCTCACGGGTACCACCATGCTTGTATCTACAAACAAGTGTATATTTAACTAAAATGCATTTAAATCAACTTTAAGTATTTTACAGCACACCAAACTATTGACTGAAAGTGAATGTCCACAGGGTATTGCAAAAGCCAGATTAAATTCACTAGTTTCAAAATGCATCTGCTAGTTCTCATGCCCTATTTGTGAATAAATCGGTATCACTTTTTGGGAAGGCAATTTCATAATAACTATTACAATTTAAAGTGTAAGTATCCTTTGACCCACTTCTAGAAAGTTCCCCTGGGGAAAGCATGCTGGTAGCTCCCAACTGGAAACAATCTGAATGAAGGTCTATCATTATCAGCCTGATTCAATCAAAAGGTACATCTGCCCGTGAGAAGCTATGTAATTCTTTAAAAAAATGAAGTAGAACTGTTTGTTAACTATAAAAAAAAAAAACACCAAGGTATATTGGGATACGTGGGTGGCTCAGTCATTTAAGCCTTTGGCTCAGGTCATGATCCCGGAGTCCCAGGATCAAATCCCACATCGGGCTCCCTGCTCAGTGGGGACTCTGCTTCTCCCTCAGCCCCTCAACCCACTCGTGCTCTCTCTCTCTCTCTCTTTCTCAAAGAAAATCTTTAAAATAAATAAATAAATAAATAAATAAATAAATAAATAATAGATACCAAGGTATCTTGTTAAATAACATATACTAAATATCAATAATTCCAAATATGTATTAAATAAAAGATACAGGAAAGTCTCTATCACTGACTCAATTTGTGTAAATTTTCTACATATGTATTTGTATACCACTATATATTTGTCCTGAGGAACACATAGGCCTATTAACAGTGGTTATCTTTGGAAGAGGGATCAACATGACAGGAAAGCAAGAGGAAAATATTTTTATTTACTTTTAAATAGTATATGAGTTTTTGCTTTTGTTTTACCACACGCTGGTATTGGCTTACTTTTTTTTTTTAAGATTTTATTTATTTATTTGACAGAGAGAGACAGAGTGAGAGAGGGAACACAAGCAGGGGGAGTAGGAGAGGGAGAAGCAGGCTTCCCACTGAGCAGGGAGCCCAACGTGGGGCTTGATCCCAGGATCCTGGGATCAGGACCTGAGCCGAAGGCAGATGCTTAACGACTGAGCCACCCAGGCATTCCATACTTTTTAAAATATAGTAAGTGCTGGGTGTCTGGGTGGCTCATTAGGTTAAGCATTTGCCTTCAGCCCATATCATGATCCCAGGGATTGAGCCCCAATTAAGCCCCACATTCAGCTCCGTGCTCAGCAAGGAGTCTTCTTCTCCCTCTCCCTCTGCTCCTCCCTGCTCGTGCTCTCTCTCTCATGCTCTCTCTCTTTCTCTTTCAAATAAATTAATTAAAAAAATAAAAAGTAAGAGTGCTTGGGTGGTTCATGGCTCAGTCTTCAGCTCAGCTCATGATCCCAGGATTCTGGGATTGCCAAAGCTGCTTCTCCCTCTCTCTCTGTTGTGCAGCCCCCCACTCTCACTTTCTCTGTCAAATGAATAAATAAAATCTTTTTTTTAAAAGATAAGGCTAAAGGAAAGCAATTATTATTAACAAATAAATAATAAAATTACACACCTTTTAAAAAAGAAGTAAATAAACTAAAATACAGTATGTACTTAAAATCAAGGGGTTGGAGCAGATGAACCTTCCAAGGTCCCTTCTAACTACTATGATTTTATGTCCTAGAGGCATGTGGTGGGGAAAAGAGAGGGGTAAGTTGCAATGGCAATGAGCCCCAGCTATAAAGCACACAGAACATGATGAAACGTTCTATTCTCAAAACACCAGACTCCTGCTGGAAAAGGGGCAACAATCAGGTGGGAGGGTAGGAGATCTGGAGGCTTGTCTTGAAGCTGCACGTAACAGCACTTCATAGAACATTGCAAAAACAAATTGTCTTCCTCAAAGATGGAGAAGGGTTGGTGATGGGGATTACAGGTGGACTAGACACCCCCAAGTCACCATTAGCCCTGTCGCCATGAGCAGGTGATAGCCTCAGCAGACTACAGGATGACGGGAGAGGATGCCAGTGACCTGAGGAGGGCTTTCCTCTCACAGGAACAGAAATGAAGGTTCTAATTATCTTGAATAGTGGATTTTGCTGGTGGAGGGGAATAAAGACCTGTTTGCTGTACATCTATTAGGTGCCAGGCAGTCTGGCAGAACAGTTGAGAACCAGGTCTGCAATCAGCTAGCCTGAGTTTGAGTCCTGGCTCTACCACCAGCTGGCTGTGTGAGACGGGGCAAGCTACCAAACTTGTCTGTGCCTCAGTTTTTCACAGTAAAATGGGCGCAACAATAGTTCCTACCTCCTGGGGGTGTGGTGAGAATTAAGTGAGTTAATCCACATAAAGGGCTTAAGTCATCACATATCCTGGGTGAAAATGAGCAGATATGGGTAAGCGATGATGAGAACGGGAATGACTATGAACCCGTCCTCCTCCTCCAGGGCAGGGCGACAGAGGGTGTCCTGGGGAAGGCACAGCTGTTAGTACTCACCTTCTATCTGGTCGGCCGTGAAGTCTATCTGTGGGGAAGGAAACACAGGAATGAGGCCTGAGACAGCCAAAGGCTTCCAGAGGGAAGCAGAAGTGGCTTCTACCACGGTGGGGGTGGGGACCTCCTGCAGGTCACCAGTGGGGGGGGGGACAAAGGGCAGAACCCCAATCTCCTGACGAATGAACTACAATCAGCTATCAAATAATGCAGCCATCAGAGCTCCCTACCACTCATGAATGATGGCTCTGAACGAGAGGGAAAGAGAGAGAAATACTCCAGAGAACTCTAGAACTCCCCCTGGTGATCTCTTGCGGTCAGATGTAAATTGCTCATGCTAACTGGCCAGAAACTGCCCTCACATTCAGCCCAACTCCACCATCTGCCCACAGTCAGACTTCTTCTCCCTTTGGGCACCCACCACTTCCCACCCTCGGCCTCCCTTTCCTCCCCCCATCCCATCCCCACCCTTTTCCTCGGGCCATGTCCTTCTTGGGCATCCAGACAGCAAGCCTCACTTGGGTGCACCCTTGAAGTTTCCTAACTATTCCTCAGTCCTGCCTCTAGGGGTGCCCAGGCCTCCCAAAGCCAGGGTTCCCCCCACCCGGGACGGGGATTTTTGTTACTGTTCACAGAGATGCCTGGCACAGAGCAGACACTCAAAAAATATTTGTTGAGTGAAGGAATAAATTTTGGATTCGCCCCAAAAGACATAATAATTCACTGCTGAGTACAGAAGAGGCAGGTGGGAAGTTCTGAAAATGAATGACAATGAACAAGCATGAGTCATCATTGTAATTTGGGATTTTGTGTATTATTTCATTGTCCTTAATCTGCCACCACCCCCCTTCCCCCCTGATCCCCTCTTGGGGGATTGGTAACCAGCCCTGGTGCCTCTTTTTCACGGAGGGGCATTTCTAGTCCTAACTCTGCAGCTTGTGCTCTGCCCCCTTAGTCAACCCCCCCCCCTTAATGAGGACCTCCAGGGTGGCTGGAATGAGCTAGAAGGAGCTAGGACAATGGAGGGGTTGAGAAGGAAAATAGCTGTGACCAGGACCAGGCTTGGCCATAAGAATACCCCTGAAATAGGGTAAAGGATGCTTTGCACGAACTCTCTGAGGGAACGGTGCGGTTGCCTTGCCTTGTAACCCGGTAAGTCCCAGGAGTAAATGTGTAAGAGAAATGAATATAAAAACATAAAATCAGAATTCATGGTCGTAACCTCCCATATTGAGCTTAAGTTTACTTTTTTGTTCTGTCTTTTTGAGCAGAGTTTTCAAAGCAAAGGAACCAGAGAAGCACAATGATAGGAAATCATATCCTTCCAATCATGAAGGATACCTCCTTTTTTTTTTTTTTTTTTTTTTTTTTTTTTTTAGTTTAAAGCAATTTCAACAACCCTCAGGATTGGGAGATCCAGATGTGGGAAAGAAGACTGCAACCACGGGAGAGACGGTGGCGGAGGTGGGTAGATGGAGGGAAGTGATGGGTCAAAGAGAAAGCCTGGGCCAGGCTGCCCCACAGGAGGAAGGCATTATCAGAACAAATCAGAATAAGGGCATCCTGATGGAGGCAGGGGAGAGTCAGTTTTTCTTGTGAGGCTCCACCCATAGTGGGAGTAATGAGTGACCCAGGTACTTTCAAGGTCTTACACGATTGCCTCCACGTGTACCATAATCAAGCCCAGGGACACGCAACTGCCTCCATCTCTTGGCCAAGCCAGTGATGCTTGACCCTGGCCTTTGTTGGGATTACTATAGATCCACCCCAGGGTCCTCGGCACAAAGGCAAGGTCTCCTGGGTCTGTGGGTGCAGGGAGGAATCCTGAGAGGGTTAGGGAGGGTCACCCAAAAATTGGAGCCCAGAGGTTCAGTTTCCCTAACTTCTTGTCACGGAACTGGGTCCTGAGTTCTTACTTTGATCTGATCCCTCACCACCCCCAGCCCTGCCCTCGTGGCTATCCTCAGGGGCCCACCACTCCCAACCTGTTATTAATAGCTCTTCATACCAGTAGCACTTGACCTCTTACATTCTGGTGCCAAGGCTTAGAACTACCTCACTCTCCAGAGGCTTCTGACCCCTCCTTCCCGGCCCCTCCCAGTTCCATTCCTTCGGCAGCTGGGCCAGATAGCTGGGAGGCCTGAAGTGACTGAGTCAGAAGGCAGGCAGGGCTCCTAGACCAGCCTCAGGGAGAGGAACCTTCCAGGGTGAGGGGAGCAGGGCCGGCAGAGAGATCCAGACCCCATTCCCTCACCAGGTTAGAGGCAGGGTCTCAGCCTGGGATGGGCCTGTCCACTGCATACCCCAGGCAGGAGCCCTGGCTGTGGCCACAGAAGGAGGAGGACCACTTTGGTAGGGGAGAGAGGGAAGCAGTCTCCTCTCGCCTTATCTAGAGCCTCTCTGCCCCCAAGACCTACCCACTGCAAGGGTCTTCTCGAACAAAGCCTTGCCCAGACCTCCGGCTCCTTCACTGCTTTACGTCACTTACTCCAGGTTGCACTGGTGACTATCATTATGTGTCTTTTCTCCAGAAAGATAGTGTACTACCTCTGAGGAAAGGGCCAGTCACTTTCTCTTCACTATCATGGCTCCCACAGTGCCTTAAAATTTAAGGCTGAGTAATTGGTTGGTTGTACCTCCCTGCCATCCCCGACTCTGCTGGGTCAATCTGGGGTGACAGAGCAGGGCTTCCTCAGAGCAGAAACCCGTTCCTGAGGGGAAAGGCCTACAACCCCAAATACCCCTCACCAACCCCAACGCCAGCTCCACCACCTCGGGCACCATGATGGGGGGCATGGACCACCACAGCCGTCAGCCCAGTCCAGCCTCCAGGAAATAGAGCTCTACGGTCCAGGACAGTCAGAATCCTGAACGTCATCCCCACCTCCATCCCAGTGTCTAAGCTTCACTCACCTTTACACTCTTGGGGTCAAAGGCAGGTTCCTTGGGGGGCTCAGGAGCTGGGGCAGGGGCAGGGGCTGGGGCGGACTTGGCCGCTTCCTTCTTGGGCTCAGGCTTCTTGGGAGGCATGTTGTCTCGTTGGGATCTTCGGTGGAGATGGGAGCTAGGAAGGAATCGAGATGTGGCGCCTGAGAGATGAGACAGGAGACTGGGCTGCCTCCCTCCCCTTTTATCCTGGGCAGCAGCCCCCACAGAGGGGCTGGGTGAGAGCAACAGCAACTGGTCTGACTATAAAAGGAAGAAACACCAGCAGGGTACAGCTGACAACTGTGCATTGTCACCAGGTTTGGGACGACGAGCCTCCCCTCCCTCCACACCTCACACTCCTCCTGGCCTCCACCTCTGGGACCGGCTGACCCCTTCCTGCCAATGGCTGGAAACCCAGAGGGGCCAGGAAAACAGACCCTCTCAAAAATGCCAGAGTCCAGCCAGAGAGATGAGCTGACTTGAGCAGTTGATAACCCTCACACAAAGCCCAGGGGAGGGTAAGGCTTTTTTTAGCCCCTCCTGAGCAGAGGCAACCCACTGCACATTCCTTTTAAGCCAGGCTCCTCTAAGCTGAGAGCTACTCTGGGGCCTCAGCTCTGCCCTGAGGCTCAGCTCTCGGGCCTGGAGCCCCAAAGCAACAGCTGGTCTGGCCAACCCACACCATCCCCACACCCTCCCAATCCACAGGGTAAAGCGCTCCATCCTCCAGAGCCGGCATCCCAGGAGCGCCACCGACCTCAGATCCCTGCCTGACCCCCTGCCACCAGCAACCTCAATCATTCATTCAACAAGTACTGGGCGCTGAACCTGCACCTGGGGGGCTGGGGTGAGAGGCAGGGAGGATGGGTAAGAGTCGGTGTGACTGGAGGTCAGAAAACTTGGGTTTTCTGTGTACCACTGTGTACCAGGCACTGTTAAGTGCTAGAATATAAAGTCTCATTACACCTTCACCACAATCCTATGAAGTAGATATCATTATTACTCCCATTTTACACTTGGAGAGATTGAAACTAAAAGTGGTCAGGTAACAAGTTCACTTAGCTAATTAGCTATCAGCTGGTTCAAAACCCAGGTGTGTCTGATTTTAAAGTTTTTGCTTAAATCGTTGAGATCAGAATCCCATTGACGGTGGGGGGGGATGGTAGTGCGTACATGGTATGTTTGTGTGTTCATCCAAAAGGTCAGGATGAATACATACTAAAGGGCTAGAAAGAAACACCCCTGGGACCTGGGGGCCGTAAGGAAGGGGCGATCACAGCAATTCGTAATTTTGTACTTTTTTTCACTTCCTCTATTAATGGAAATTTTTAAAACAAGCATATACTGTTTTTGTAAAAACCGTTGAAAGCCTATAAAATGTTCAGAAAACAACAACAAAAAAGCTTATCCACTGCACAGAATTGCTTGGAGCTGAACTTTAAGACTCTCCAGTTCAAAGGGAAAAAGTCTAAGCTGAGAGAAGCCGAAAAGTCACTCTGCCTCTCTGGGCCCAGTTTCCTTCCTGTGAAACAAGATGGCTGCGCTATCGACACCTGACCCCTGCTAGCGCCTAAGTCCAGTCCCAGGTGCCTGGGGCCCACATCTGCTCCTTCCCCAGGCTCCATTTCCCAGATCTTTCTGAGCTAAAAGGGCCCTTAGAGTTGGTCTCATTCTACCTGCTTTTGTAGGTGAGGAATCTAATGCCCAGAGAGACTTTTCAGTGGCCTGGACACATTCAGCCATTTAGAGGCAGAGCTGACCTGGCTAATTCTGACTCCCCATGCGGTGTGTGGAGCTCTGCCCCCGCCCTGCGGCTCCTTGAGCCTAGGTGTGCTCTCACCACTGGTAAGCAGAGAGGCCTTCAAAGGAAACTGAGGCAGGAAAAGAAGCCAGGACTTGCCCGAGGAGATACTAGAGCGAGCAAGACCCGAACCCCGGACAGCACTGGCCCTGGCTGGGACAGCAGCCATTGGCCCTTTCACCTCACCCTATTTAACCCCTCTTCTGCTTCACCTTCTCTGTGCCTTCTGACTTGGTGTCCCCTGCTTCTAGGGGCCTTGGCTGCACCCTTCCAGTTTCCCTATCTTTCCCTTCCCTGACTTCTTCATTCCCCCAGGGGTTGGGAACTCAAGTTACTGCTGGTGGTGAGGAAGGAGGAAAAAGGAAGCCCAGCCTCTCCTCTCCTCTCCCCCACCACACCCCCTTCCCAGACTAGGTGTACTGTGGGGTTTGCAAAGATACACAAACTGGTGTTTGGTGGAAAGCTGCAAGCCGAAAGCTGGAAGATCCAGACACCAGTCGTGACCTTGCCAGCCACTCCCCCTCTCTGGATCTCAGCTTGCTTATCTCTAAAATGAAAGATCATGAGGAGCTTTCAGGGTTCAGCAGACACCCCAGGCTCCCTGAACTTGCTTGTCGCTATAAGGGACGCACAGAGGCCAGGTTGGGAGCTCCCCTTTCCATTTCAATCAGTGCCACTCCTGTGTTTTCCTACACCTGCATCCCACAATCATCAAAGAAATGATTCTGCGATTTAATGAGATGCTCTTGTATATCCCCTTCCAGTTAAGAAATAAATTATTCTAACCATTCTAGTAAGAAGTTCGATCCTCAAAAGGCAGAGTCAGGAGTTTCCTCTTCTTTCATTTATCTTTCTCTTTTTTCCTTTTTTCTTTCTTTCTGTTTTAATTCTCAGGAGGATCAAAATACCAAGTCTGCTCAGGAACAGAGCTCTGAGGTTGTCTAAATGCTGGTTGAGCATTTGCAGACATGATAGGGTGTGGGCGTCAGGGACAGGGGGGCATAGGGCTGAATCCTGCATTGGCCATTTCCTAATCTCGGGCCCAGTACCCTAAGGACCCTCAACAGTAAACATTTCCTTATTGTGAGATCTGTATGAAACGATGACGTAAGCAGAGCACCACAAGCCATCCCGGGCACATTAGAAACACTTAGAGCTGTTAATTTCATTCGCTTTCCTAGATGAAGCCAGATGTGTGCTGGGGTGTCTAGAACTTCCTGGAAGGAACTCCAGGAGAGGGGAGCCCATGGGGGAGGGACAGGTAAGGTGGCAGCAGCTACTGGGATTGTGAGGTGTGGCTTTAGGAGTGAGGACGAGGTGGAAAGGGGTGGGGGAGGAGGGGCGGTGGCTGGGTACCCATGGTGTGACATATTTGTGGCTCAGAAAGCATGTAGCAGGTCCCTGGGGCCAGGCAGCCTGTCCATCAGCCACACTCACACAAGGAGCCAGCCTGCCTGAAAACTTAGGTGACAAGCACCCCTGCGGGGGAGGAGACACTACTCAAATCGGTTTCTGATTCTCTTTCATCAGTATCAGCTAAAAGATTCTGGCACTTCAGAAGCAACTAGAGGAGAGTGTGGCTTTCCAGAAAGATCCATGCCTCAAGAGTCAAGCTCCCTGCCTCTGGCCTTGCTCTTGCCACAAGTCAGGATGCCCACAGGTCAGAAGAGCCCAGGAACTCAAGTCAGAGGTGTCACTTCCACGACCCTCATTCTGCTTCAAGGTAACTGACTTTTACCTTCTTGTCCCTTTAGAGTAGCTGGTGCCAGGTCTTTGTCATAGACCTCCTCCTCCAACCTTTGCTGACCAAGCAGAGTAAAGGAAAGAAAGAGGGAAGGACAAAAGCACAGAGTGAAAAGGCAAGTACAGTAGCGGGTACTGGCAGCCTAACCCTTGTCTCTGAGGCCTCTCATGGTTCCCGAGCCAGAGGAGCTCCAGCCCACTGCAACGCTCCCGCTGGAAGGACGTCAGACCCAGTGTATGGAAAATGCAGGACGAAATTTCACACAACCCATTTACAGCCCACGTCAAACCCGGGGACAGACGCATAGAGAACTGACATCAGCCCTCATTTGGGCTGGGCTTACACTCGCTCACTCTTCTCCCTTCCCCTCCAACCACGCACATCCTGTGTCCTGTCCTGAAAGAGATCCATCAGAGTCTCCTGCCTGGGATCAAATGCTGCTGACAGCAGGTCTGGCTCTTAATGCCTTGTCTCTGTCACCCTCCCTCCTCTCCTCTGGCCAGCGTCTCATAAGCTAGACACCATGGGGCAATGCCCTGGCCATCACGAAGCTGTCCCCAGAGAGGGCACTGGGTAAATCAGGCTCTACTGCAAGTCAGGGAGTAAGAAGGCCCACTCAGGAGCCAGACCGCCTGGGTTGGAGCCCTGACTCAGTAGGCTAGGCAAGCTAGTTCACTTGTTTTTTTAAAGATTTATTTATTTGAGAGAGAAAGCACACATGTGAGTTGGGGCAGTGGGGGGAGGCGGGGTGCAGAGGGAAAAAATCCCCAACAGACCATTCCCAGCTGAGTTCAGAGCCTCGATCTCATGACCCTGAGACCATAACCTGAGTTGAAATCAAGAGTCAGACAATTAAACGACTGAGCAACTCAGGCACCCCTCGAGTTAACTTTTTTTTTTTTAAAGATTTTATTTATTTCTTTGAGAGAGGGAGGGAGAGCAGACAGAGAGAGAAAGAAGGAGAAGCCAACTCCCCTCTGAGCAGAGTCGACGTGGGGCTCGATCCCAGGACCCTGAGATCATGACCTGAGCCGAAGGCAGACGCTTAACGACTGAGCCACCCAGGCACCTCTTGAGTTAACTTCTTTATGTCTCACTTTTCTTATCTGTAAAATGGGGCTGCTAATATAACCTCATAGATTGGTCGTGAGGATTATGTGAATTGGAGGAGAAAGAAAGTAGGGGCCAGGAGTGCAGCAAAAAGGCTGCTAGGAAGTTGAGGCAAATCTAAATTTCCATTGTTCTTGGATCCTAGCTGATTGGGATACGGGATTGTTGAGCCCAAGGGTCAAGAAAGAATTCTTGAGACATTTTATGGTGCAAAAAGGTGCTGGGTAACATGCCTAGAACAGTGCCTAGGACAGAGCAAGTATCAAAATAGCTGAGCCTGGGTCCTGATTGAAATAGTGTGGTGGCTGCTGCCTCTCCCAAGATCAACAGTAGAGGGATTATACAGAGAAAACACCAAGAAATTAAAAGAACTGTGAGAAACCCCTTGGATGAAGGGTAGCCCTGTTTTGAACTGGGGTGTGTGTGTGTGTGTGTGTGTGTGTGTGTGTGTGTTGGAAGAGTGGCTTTGGTTTAGGGAAAG